CTGAGGCAGGCTCCGCTAATGTGGACGCGCTACCTCGACTTAGAGCCCCGGGAAGCTCTGGGGAGTCATTAGTCTGAATTATTCTGGGGAGTCGTTATAATGAGATAGTGGCACCGGAGCATCCACACTACTGCTATTTGAAATAACTATTTCGAAAGTAGTGTTATTCCTTGAGGAAAGCGGGAATACAGATTTCCAAATAAGTGGATTGTTATTTCGAAACACAAGACTCAGCTATTTTGTTGGAAAGTTGGGTCCAGAGCAACCTTATGACGCCTGCCTCCTGGAGGCTTGCACACCCTGGGTGTGTCTACACAGCAAAGTTATTTCGGAATAACGGCTGTTATTCCAAAATAACTATGCGAGTGTCTACACAGCAATTCCATTATTTCAACATAATTTCGAAATAACAGATGGCTTATTCCGACTTCTATAACCCTCACCCTATGAAGAATAACAGCTATTCTGAAATAGTTATTTTGGAATAGGGGCTGTGTAGATGCTCCATTTCCGCTATTTCGAAATAGCCCCTCACCAGGGCTTCTTCCAGAATAGCTTATTCTGGAATAACTGTGCAATGCGGACGTAGCCCCTGGGTGCTTCCCAGAGGCGTTGGGATTCTCTGGCAAACAGCTTCTCTCAGGGGCCTGCTTGGCTGTGGAGAGATGCAGCAGACACCAGAGCCTCCAGCGGAAGTAGGTGCCGCTTGCCTGTGGGGAGGATGGCCCTCCGAGGAAGGAGTCCTAGGTACAAAAGCATGCTGCAAAGCTACCTGAAAATCCTGTGGGCACAAGGCTAGACAGAGAGAGGGAAAAGGGTTTTAGAGGCCAAATGAGACCAATGAAAAACAATGCTCCAGGACAGCAGGTTTTCGTCTAATTTCTCAGGCGGCAGGAAGGAAGGGCCACCCACTAACTAACTAACTAACTCGGGCACACGGCACCGCCCCCAGGGCACACGGCCCCACCTCTGGGCACATGCATGGGCCCGCCCCCAAGACATGTGGCCCCGCCTCCAGGCGCCCGATTATTCTGGGGAGTCGTTATAATGAGATAGTGGCACCGGAGCATCCACACTACTGCTATTTGAAATAACTATTTCGAAAGTAGTGTTATTCCTTGAGGAAAGCGGGAATACAGATTTCCAAATAAGTGGATTGTTATTTCGAAACACAAGACTCAGCTATTTTGTTGGAAAGTTGGGTCCAGAGCAACCTTATGACGCCTGCCTCCTGGAGGCTTGCACACCCTGGGTGTGTCTACACAGCAAAGTTATTTCGGAATAACGGCTGTTATTCCAAAATAACTATGCGAGTGTCTACACAGCAATTCCATTATTTCAACATAATTTCGAAATAACAGATGGCTTATTCCGACTTCTATAACCCTCACCCTATGAAGAATAACAGCTATTCTGAAATAGTTATTTTGGAATAGGGGCTGTGTTACCTCGTGTGCACCTTACAGCTGCCGTCAGGTGCCCCACATCGGTTGGTGCCCTGGGCAGCTGCTCACCTCGCCCACCCCTTAATCCGGCCCTGGACGTGCTATTTCGAAATAAGCGATTTTGGAATAATTCTTCCAGAATAGCTTATTCTGGAATAACTGTGCAATGCGGACGTAGCCCCTGGGTGCTTCCCAGAGGCGTTGGGATTCTCTGGCAAACAGCTTCTCTCAGGGGCCTGCTTGGCTGTGGAGAGATGCAGCAGACACCAGAGCCTCCAGCGGAAGTAGGTGCCGCTTGCCTGTGGGGAGGATGGCCCTCCGAGGAAGGAGTCCTAGGTACAAAAGCATGCTGCAAAGCTACCTGAAAATCCTGTGGGCACAAGGCTAGACAGAGAGAGGGAAAGGGGTTTTAGAGGCCAAATGAGACCAATGAAAAACAATGCTCCAGGACAGCAGGTTTTCGTCTAATTTCTCAGGCGGCAGGAAGGAAGGGCCACCCACTAACTAACTAACTAACTAACTAACTAACTAACTAACTAATGAACTAACT